AGCCAGTTGGTGTTAACAGCGCCATTTAACAATGGGGAAATTGAGATACATGTATTATGAAAGGTCCTCAGCTAGGGATCTGGCCCATCGACTCCAATGGAGCTACGGTCGATTGACTGGGATCTGGGACAGTGTGAGTCCCCTGATCACATTCAGAACATGCCAGATGCGCTCTGACTTCAGGGGCAGCATCTTTGCTCCCCAGTTCCCTTCTTGTTCCCATATTATCAGCCTTCAATCATTACGCAGTGCGAGAGTCACACCCCAGTTAGGGTTGCACATCAGCCTGGTTTTGCCCTTTCCTAAAATCCACCCTGAAGAGAGCTGTATGTTATTATTGCTTCAGAGTTAACACAGGGAATGTGAATCTGAAACAGAAAAGGCATTGCCAGTGCCTCATCATGTCACCATCATCATCATTACATGAAGTAAGGAAGAACTGACTCCATTTAATAATTTATGATATAAATTTATCTCTTGTGGAAGTGAAAATAATTATTCCTTTTCCTGTAGGACACTAAAATTCTAATTTTACCAAGATCGATTATTAGATTAACTCCTGTAAATTCTAACAGAAGATGGGTGCCTAAGGACACTAAATGTTATTGAAAATATCAGTCCAAGATTTGAGTTGATGTATTTATTGATTTTGACTCCTCCTAAGACATGGCATGATTCTGGCCATGGCCACCAGTGCAATGCTGCTTTGAAGTATCATTGTTAAGCCCCAATATGTCAGCAGATGGGATATGACAGTAGATCAAGAAGGGGTCTGATCAGTCACATCACTAATTGGGGTACCAGAGAAATGGGCTGTTTTTATCATAGTTATTATTCAGGTATGGCAGAGAGTGAATCTGTAGGGATACCAAAGATCTGTTCTCAGACTGAGACTCCTGGCACTTTGCTCTAAAATCTATATTTAGCCTTAACATTTCAGCAGGGGAGGAGTTTTTGAAAGTTCATGGAACGAATTCCTGACACTTGATTAACTTTCAGCTCTATGTTCTTCCAATTCACTGGCACAGCTTGTTTTCTGGTTCCTAAACTCAACCCATGGCAGACAGAGATTGGGGAAACCAAACGGCCATCACAGAATTCATCCTCCTGGGATTCGGGGATCTCCCTGAGCTGCAAATTCTTCTCTTCCTGCTGTTTCTAGTGATTTACATGGCAACTGTGGCCGGAAACACCCTCATGGTTGTGCTAGTTGTGGCTGATCAGCACCTTCACACCCCCATGTACTTCTTCCTGGGGAACCTGTCCTGCTTGGAGATCTGCTACACCTCCACCATCCTCCCCAGGATACTGGCCAGTCTCCTGACTGGGGACAAAACTATTTCAGTCAGTGGCTGCATCACACAACTGTACTTCTTTGGTGGTCTGGTAGGTACGGAATGCTATCTGCTAGCAGTGATGTCTTATGATCGGTATTTAGCGATATGTAAACCCCTGCACTATTCAGCTCTGATGAATGCCAGGTTTTGCCTCCAGTTGGCTGCTGGGTCATGGTTCAATGCTTGTTTGGCTATTACCATCATTATATTACTCATGTCACAGTTCATATTCTGTGGCCCGAATGAAATTGACCATTTGTATTGTGATCCCATCCCACTGATTAAACTTTCCTGTGGGGACACGCTCCTGATCATGTTGTTGAATTTCATCCTAGCCTGTGTATTCACCCTGCCTCCGTTCCTGTTAACCCTGACATCCTACGTGTGCATCATCACCACCATCCTGAGAATCCCTTCCACCACTGGGAGGCACAAAGCCTTTTCCACCTGCTCCTCCCACCTCATTGTGGTAACAATTTTCTATGGAACCCTAATGAGTGTCTCCATGTTACCAACACTCAATACACTGAGAGTGCTAAAGAAAGTGCTCTCTCTTTGCTACACGGTCCTGACCCCCCTGGTGAACCCCCTCATCTACAGCCTGAGAAATAGAGAGGTAAGGGAAGCCTTGAGCAAAGCACTCAGTCAATATGTGACTTTCAAAAAAACATGCAGAGACTCCTAGATCGTTACTGAGGCCAAGGTTTTCAAAGCTGCCCGGCTGATTTAGGCAAAGAGCCCCCACTGATATCAAGCTGAAAACTCCCATTGAATATGTCAGGGCTGATGGGGAAAAGCAATGGAGACGATCTGCATGGAGTTACTGAGGCAGGGTGTTTATGGTCCCCTGCTGTGTCCATGTAACAAAGAGGAATGTGAGGTTGTGGAGAATTCTATCCCCCTCTCATGTACAGCAGTGCAGCACTGACACATACAAGATGCTTTTTTTTTTCTGCGTGGTGTTGACTTAACATTCACCGTAAGTGAGGAGGGTTGATGGCATCTGATAATGCACAGAGCTGTCTTGTCCTGTAAGGCACAAACTCCACTAAATAAAAATGCAAATCCATGTGTATATTCCTTGTTGTTCATTGTCAGGGCCGGCTCTAGGGACCAGCAAACCAAGCACGTGCTTGGGGCAGCACATTTTCAAGGGCAGCATTCTAGCCATTTTTTTTTTTTTTTTGCTTCCGGTGGCAAAAGCCTAGAGCCAGCCCTGGCAGCAGCAGCGCGTCGTGCGTGGGGAGCGCCCTGTAGGCGCTGCAGTTCGCGCCGCGGGGGAGCAGCGCCCACACCTTGTGGCTGGGCCGGGCAGGCTTCTAGCGGGGGACACTCAGGCTGGGGGACACCCCAAGGGGCACACGGAGCTGCCTGCAGGTGCCGCAGGGCAGCTGCCCCCCAGCGCTGCAGCCGGGGCTGGGCGAAGCGGCCCAAGGTGCCCAGGGACTGTGGCAGGGCGGCCAGAAGCAGCAGGAGCAGTGGGG